ATAGCAATGAACCACTGGCTGGACTGTCGATGTTGTCGTCTTTCAGAAGTTTGTTTAAAAGCAAGCTGATAACGGGTTTGGCTGTCTGGCATATGCCAGTATCAATTTTACTATCAAATCAAATGAATGTATCGTAGAGTGATTGGTTGTCCCACTGCCGGAGTCGAACCCTCGACTTTCCACATGACAGCAGCAGAGCTAACGGCACCACGCCCGCCACTCTCGTTGTATAAAATTCCAAAAACTGACCACATTCGCCAGCGCTCATTTTGTTTCAATAAAGGACGGGTAAGGACGTGCGTTGTCGCCGTATGAACGAAGACTAAAACCCTTTCTCACTGTGTCGCCGGCGCATCTGCAGAGAGGAATTCTTACGTTGGTGTTGAACAATTCCTTCCCGATCCCACCCTGATATTACCGCGATCTAAGCAGCGACCTTTGCGAGTCGTTCCTACATGCTTATTGTTACAGTCAGTGAATATTTTTATTTCTGATTGCCACTGGCAGTGGATATATCAGAATGCTTCACAGCATACCGGATTTACAGAGTCCGTTCCTTTTTTCGTTAACTTCTTACTGTTCCTTTGCAGAGTTAAATTAGGCCAAACCAACACGAATGAAAAGCACTTCCTAGTTGTGAGTATCCTCTGAGATAGACACATCAAAACTAAAATTGGGACAACGTTAGAAAAACACCAAGTCGGAAGTTAGGCTAGTTAGAGCGTTCTAGCTTTATAAGAATATTTGTCTTCCATACGTGAGCATTTAAACGTAAAATGAACTTTGGCGTTCTCCTCTATCGCGTTTTCGGATAATACAAAGGTGTGTTTATGACGAAAAGCGATTTCGTTACCCGGTCATGTAAGGAAGCTGAAAGTTTATAAAGATGTTCTGTGCCAGTATTCAACCCAAATATTTCAAATTTAGCTTTAAAGCGTATTCAGGTCTCACGAACGCAAAGATATGATTATTCAATTTGGGACCCTTGGCACCCTGTTGACTCTGTAATTAGGCTGAGCTGGTAGCAGTATTTTTCAGGGGATGCTTGTTGTTCGTTCGGTTACCAAGCGCAAGATTAGTTTCTGTCTAGGGGTAGGGCCGCTTGCAGATACATGAAATGTTGAAATTACAAAACGCAATCATACTCCTGTAGTGCCGGTGATCTCTCCGTATTATCATGAATTAGCTATTAATAGGCGGCACTTTAGATCTGCAGTCGGATGATACACTGGCGTTGCAGTATCTCCTATCCAGCTACGAAAATGAACGAAAAGCGGAAGTACAACGCGCCGAAACCTGGACGGTTCGTTCTTAACACACAGCAGTTAGCTCATGGATTTGCATAAGAATTGAATGCGGTCGTGTTGCAGTCTGGTGAGGTCCATTTGTGCGCAATGGGAGCCAGTTGAGCTATGAATCTGTAATTTTTTGGGAATGTGACGATGTGTGCGTTTCCAGGCGATCTCGCTACAGCAAAAAATCATGTAAAAACGCATGGTTCCTTTCCTGAGAAGCGCGTTTTAAAAAACACTTATTTTTCAGTGATGTTTTGCCAGTGTGGCAGTTATTGAATATCAAAGAAAAAAAAAATTGCCTGGCAGTAAACCATGACATTG